GGTAAAAGCCCAGAACCTAGTAGTGGGGAACTACTGTTCCACTTCAACACCAATGATGTTAAGGGCACCACAGTTCCATATCTCCGTATTAATTTTTTGTTCTGACCTACATTGGATCCTTAGAGTGAAGAACAGGTAAGAAATCTTAGTAAGAAGAATTGTGATAAGGATAATACACAAAACTTTTGAGAGGCCATCCAGAGCAGTGTTTCCCAATCTTTCCCCCCTTCCGACCTTGTTTCCTTCCTATGGCCCCCCATGGACGTAACCAAGGGGGGGGGGCAGATGCCCCCAAAATAAGTAAAAATCAATACAGGTCAATACAAATCTGAGGTTCTGCCCTCCCCCCAACAAAAGCCTGCCACCCTAACAAAAATCCTGGCTATGTCCATGCCCCCCACTGGTAGAAAGGTAGGTATTTAAATGTTTTGTTTGTAAATAGAACATGTTTTGTTTATACTTTTTATAATAGATACAAAATACAATTACACAAAATGATAGGAACATAATGAAATATTGTTGAAGCAGGAAAACATAGAATCAGGGAGCTGGAAGGGACCTCGAGGGTCTTCTTTCTAGCGCAACCCCCTGCAATGTAGGAAACTCTGCTAAACATCCATGACAGATGGCCACCCAACCTCTGCTTAGAAACCTCCAAGGAAGGAGAGTCTAGAACTTCCTGAGGGAGATCCATCTTCCATGTATCATAAAAAGTAAACAACGCTTATTTCACCCCAGTTATTTGACACAGAGGGGGAAATCTATAGATACAGTCTAAAAGGCACACAGGGAGTTCTGTATATATGGGAGAATTTTAAAAAGCAAGTGGTCCTCACTGCCCTGGTGCAAAAAGATCTTGTCATCTAGAGCAGTGTTCCCCAACCTTGGGCCTCCAGCTGTTTTTTGGACTACAACTCCCATCATCCCTCGCTAGCAAGACCAGTGGTCAAGGATGATGGGAATTGTAGTCCAAAAACAGCTGGAGGCCCAAGGTTGGGGAACACTGATCTAGAGGAGTCCTGGCTTCCTAGATAAAATACTATAGCCCGCCGCACCCTTACCTGGGAGTAAGACCCACTGAACTCAGTGCAACATTCTTCTGAGTAGACAGTTATTTACAAGATGCAAGTCAGCAGCACCAGACGACCCCGCTTGGCTAGGCGCTGGGATGGATCTCACCCTGCGCCCTGCAGAGCTGGGCTGATGCTGCCAATGGGCCCTGCACCCCTCAGCAACATCCCAAGGCCCTGATCCACTAGATGCTGGGGTGGATTGCACCCTGCGCCTCGCAGAGTCAGGACCACCAGGCCCAGCACTGGTGGCAGCAAAAAGCAGTTCCGGCTCACCCAGCCCTACCGATTGCCACCCCACCACCGCACTTACATGACCTGGGGGTTCTGGATCACAGGCTCTATTGGTCAAAATGGGAGCCTCAACGATTGCCTTCTCCTGCTGGAAACAAACCAGGACTGCTCCAAGAAAACCCACGTGGCAAAAAGGAGCTCTAGGCCCTGGTGGGCCGCTCCCTTACTCGCTTGTGATTGGCCAAGCAGATAGCCAGCCAATCAGGATTTAAATATATATGTATGAATTCCACTCTTCACTTCTCACTTCCCTCTGTGACCCGCCCCCCAGCCTCATGCTGTGGCCCCCATTTATGCATTTTTCACCTCTGCCCCTCTTGAAATATCTGGGAGGGGCAGGGAGCCATATGGCTTCCGGTTGGGGAACTCTGATCCAAAGGTTTTAGGTATCATCTGTTTGACCTCAATACCAAGAAAGGTCCTTGAGGTCTGTGAGCACTTAGAAAAGGATGCTGTGATTACTATGACTTAGCATGGGTTTCTCAAAAACAAGTCATGTCAGATGAATCTCATTTCTTTTCTTTTTTTTAAAGAGTGGATCAGGGGAATGCTGTGGACATAGAGTATCTTGATTTCAGTTAGGCTTTTGACAAAGCCCCCCATGATATTATTGCAGAGAAGCTGGTAAAATGTGGACTAGATGAGGCAACGGTTAGGTGGATTTGTAGCTGGCTGACTGACCAAACCCAAAGAGTGCTTGTGTATAGTTCCTCATCATCCTGGAAAAAACTGACAAGTAGGGTGCTGCACATTTCTGTCCTGGACCTGTTGCTGTTAAATGTCTTTATAAATGACCATGATAAAGGAATTGAAGGCTGAATCTCCATCCTCTTGAAAACTGCCAGCTCAGCTTACCCTTAGGATCAGTTTAAAATTGACAGAAAACCAAGGGTGGGAGACAGCTTTCCCAAAAGAAAAGGGCTGGTTCCTTTTTCCATGTTGCCATATACTATGGATATGGTGATACTTCACTTACCCAGAAGAGAGCATGTGGCTGTCAAAAACAGAGCATCCAGGGGAACAAGAAGATTTGACTCTTCTTGGTTTCCATTCATAGCTTTTGTAAACATGGGTGTGCAGGGCATTTGGCCTCCTACAAGGCAGGAGTCCTTTTGGTACAGTAACACTTGGTTTCTGTAATAATGGCAATTTATAAATGACCTCTCGCTCTTTTTTGAAGGAGAACCACTAACTCACAATGTGGTGTGTGTGGTATATATTGTGTATGGTGTTATTTTATTTTGCCTTTCAAAGTTCAGTTTTATGGTTTGCTACTTTGGAAAATACTTTTTTCTTTCAAAGGAAGTGGCCCCACAATGTCTTCAAATATATGCTGCAACCTCTTTTGCTACCTAAGCTACAATTTGTTCAGCTTCAATCAGAAAGCAAGTTGGTGCCAGCATTGTTGATGAACCCTACTTGATGTACATGTAGCAAAATGCTTGCTTGGTCATTGCTGATCTTCGCCACTCTCCCTTGAGTTTATGTATATTATTAATTCTGCCAACCTCATAGGGAGTGAGATTCTTCTTTGCATTTAGGCAGTTGCATAAAGTCCTGAACACTAATGATTATTAACAACCTGGTTCGCTTTTTATATAAATGGGGAAGGATGGTTTATATCCCAGTCCTTTGAGTATGGCACAGAACTCATTTCTGGTCATTAATTTCGGCTCACACTGTGTTTAGTTCAGATGAAGAGTGGAAGATTCCATTCCCAGTACATTGAAGAGCCAAATATTTCATAGAACCATAGCATTGGGAGGGAGCCTGGGGGTTAGCTAGCCCAATATTCAGTGATGTATTGACAGACCAAGATGCACCTGCAGCATCCCTGACAGGTGGCCATCCAGCCTTTGCTTAAATGCTTCCAGTGCAGGTAAGCCTGTTCCCCTGCCAAACAGTTTGTACCATTAGGACATTTCTCCTCGGTGCTGAGCCTATATCTTATTTCCTGTGATTTCTAATGATGGATTTCAGTTCTGCCCTTTTGAATGGCAGGGGATAAATCTGTTCCATCTCATGCATGACAGCCCTCAAAATATTTGAAGACAGCTCCCCTTCAAGATAAACATTCCCAGCTCTTTAAAGTGCTCCTCAAAGGACTTGGTTCTGGACCTCTCACAGTCCTTTGGACACACTCCAATTTGTCAATGTCCTTCTTAAAAGATGGCACCCATAATTGAACGCAGCACTCCAGATTTGAAAGAAGGGTAAGATCCTTCCTAAGTTCTTTGTGTCCTGCAGTCTGTTTACACCTGCATCCAGTCAGATGCCTCTGGGATGCTCACAAGCAGGGCACAAAGGCAACCATTGGCTTCTGTTTCTCCCCTGTAACACCTGGGGTTCAAAAGTGCACTTCCTCTAACTAGGGAAGCTCCATTTAAGATATTGTGACTGGTGGCCATGTTTCTCCATGCAGTTGTCAAGAGTCAGTGTGGTGCAATGGTTAGGGTGTTAGACTATGACCTGGAAGATCGGGGTTTGAATCCCCACTCAGCCATGAAGCTCACTGGGTGACCGCAAGCTAGCCACTATCTCTAAGCCTAACCTACCTTGCAGGGTTGTTGTAAGGAGAAAAGGGGGAAGGAAGAACCATGTACACCACCTTGGGATTCTTGGAGGAAAAGGTAGCATATAAATGAAGAATGAAATAAAATAAGCCCTCTTTAATGCCAGGTGAGTGAGCAAGCCCTATCCTTTGTCTCAGCAATTTCCACGCATTATTTATGTGTGATATGGAAACGTGTGTGTGTCTGTTAAGAGATGCTTCACCTCCAAAGAAAAAATTAAGAATGGGATTGCTACAACATAAGCACAGCCACAAAGGAGCAGCGGTTCATTTCCATCGTCTGTGATTGATTAGTGGTCCAGAGAAGGACACTGCAGACCATGGACAGCCAACAGGGTGCCTTTCTGATGCTGTGGGTTTTGATTGCCCATCAGCCTCAGGCAGTGGGACCAGTGATGGATGGGAATTCTGGAGAGCACACCTGCTGCACAGGGCCAGGTTCACCTCCTACACATGTGATGGAGACATGATCCAGTGTGCTGAGCCTTTAGGGAGGCAGTGGCAGAACTCTAATCCAGCCCTTCTTGGTGGGTAACCTTACATCTGAGCCAACAGACTAAGTTTGAAGTCCTGCTCCGATGGCCATCTCAGCAGAGCATCCGTGCCTTTAACAAGGGCCAGAAATTCGCCTAAGAAAGCATTTCCCTTTATCAGAGACAGGAAAATTATTCACCCATTGGACCGACCAGGACGAACCTAGAATCATAGAATTGTGGGGTTGGAAGGGACCCAAAGGATCTTCTAGTCCAGCCCTCTGCAAGAGTAGCCTAGGTGTGGGTTAGATGTGAAAGAATGTCTCTCTTCCTCCCCCCCCCCCCGCCCTTTAGTCTTTTGTGGCTGCAGTGACTTTCCTCCTCTCTGTGTCTCTCTGTACGGTTCTGCCAAAATAAATTCCAGCATTGCAGGGAGTTGGACTCGATGTCTTTCGTGGTCCCTTCCAACTCTCCAGTTCTATGACTCTATGACTGTCCGTCTGCCTGCCTCTCTCTCTCTCTCTCTCTCTCTCTCTCTCTCTCTCTCTCTCCGGGTGTCTCCTTTCCAGCCTGCCCCTCGCCTCGTCTTACCTGTCGGCGCTGAGGGCAGTGAGCGTGAAGACGGAGACGCCCACCGAGGTGAGCTGGATGGCCGGCAGCAGCTTGCAGCCCACCTCGCCGAAGAGCCAGTCCTCGAGGAAGAAGCGCGAGGCGTCGACGGGCACGCAGGTGAGAAGCAGCAGCAGGTCGCCGGCGGCCAAGCTGGAGATGAAGATGTTGGGCACGCTGCGCACGGCGCTCCTGCCCACGAAGATCTTCAGCAGGGTGGCGTTGCCCAGCAAGCCCACCGCCATGATCAGCAGGTACAGCGAGGGCACCACGCAGCGGATGATGAAGAGAGCCCGGGCTTGCTGCGACGAGGGCAGCCGCTCTGACGCCTGGCCAGGAGCCGGGTCCGCCTCGCCGCTGCCGTTGCCCTCCGCTGTCAGGTTGCCCCAGGCAGACGCGCTGCTGCCCAGCCCCGTCCAGCTGAAAGACATAGCCTCGCCCGTCGAAGGATCGGGGCTGTCTCCGGGTGCCCAGACTTCTGCGCCTTCCCGCACCCCCAGACGGACAGGGACAGGACGATGCGCTCAAAGGCAAACCTGTCTCTTCTTCCTAAGGAGTGCCTAGACAACCGTCGGGGCAAGCTTTCCTGGGATGCTTCTGCAGAAGGAAGTCCCTCCGGAGTCCCAAAGGCTTTCTGTTCAAGTAAGTGCTGTTTAGGTAGGATCTGAGTCAAGAAATCGGTATCCAGTCTGTTGGGTCTTCTGCGAGGTGAAGCAGGCGAAAAGAGTCGCGCGATTCTGCTGGGCGATGCTGGCGGCTCCTCTTTCTAGGAAAGCCTGGACGGCTCTGCTCCTCTCTCCGGAGCGTGGAGCAGCTGAGGTTGGCCAGCTCCTGCCGGGCAGAAGCCGGGTTCTATTTTCCCTGCTTGCCGCGCAACACCAGCCCTTTATACGCGCGAGGGTCCGCCTCCGCAAGGAGGAGCGAACAGTTAGAGAAAAGCCACCAACTTGGTCTCTTGGCGCTGAATGGAGGGAGCGGCTCTCCTCCTTTGCGTAGCACCCAAGTTAAAGACAGAGGCTTTCCCCGCGACAGGGGCGGGGGAGGCTGAGGCCCCAAAAGGTTTTCCAAGCTGCTGGACTTACCTGGTCGAGTTTATGGGCTCGGGCGTAACGGCACGTCTAAGGCTACAGCCCTTCTAGGCTCACTTTCCTGAGAGTAAGCCCTAGTGAACTCAGCAGACGTGGACAGCATGGCGCTTCCAGGCTCCGATCCTATGCATACTGCCCTGGAATTGACTTCTGAGTCAGTCTGCATAGGACTGGGCTGCAAAGCTCTGTAGGAATGTTCCTTGAAACCCCAAACTGGCAGGCACAAGAGTGCCGGGGTGACAGAGAGCGCCAGGCGGAAGGCGGCGCTTTTTAGCCTGAAGGTTCAAATGTCCGGGGGGCGGCCAAGGAAATAGAGCTGTCCGTCTCTTGGTGCTGAAAATTACTCCGGAGCCGCTCCCCGTCTCAGCTTTAAACTACAGGGACATCATAGAACCATAGAATTGGAAGGGACCCCGAGGGCCATCTCGGCTGCACTCCTGAATATGCTTTTGGAAGTAAAGCGCCCCCATTTGGAGAAAACATGGCTAGGATCCAGCTGCGAGCCATCTGCATGACACTATAAACCGAGATCTTGCGGTTTTCCTTAGCGTTCCTGGACAGCATTCTTTCCAGTCTTCGCGGGGTGTGTGTGAGCAAAGTTCTTGGTCTTGCCAGCTGCAGGACTAATGCTGTGCAACCACAAGCAGCATAAGGGGGAGGTCATCACGTTTCGTAAACATACATCGGCGCAATCCTATACATTCCTGTTCCGAAGTATATCCCATTAAGTTCAATGGGGCCTTGCTCCCAGATGAATGAATGGCTTTAGGATTGCGCAGCATGTGTTAAAGCGTCTTCTCTCCCACCCCCCTCGTTCTCTGCAGACAGGAACAGATTTGTCATAATGAAATACAAACGGATTTGATTTCCACACATTCAAACGATCAGTAACTTTCACCCTGTGTGTTTTTGTGTGTTACGGGTGATGGAGATAAGACATTGTTTCCAACATAAAGAACTGGGCCGCTGAAGTGGTGTGTCTTACCTGGGAGTTAGACACATTGGACTCAAAGGGACAGTGTGTTGTTGCCAGAGTTTAAATCACCAGGACTTCGGGACTTCTTCTCCCAGAATTTGGGTTGTGTGGAGTGGAGACTGTCTTTCTTTCTTTCTTTCTTTCTTTCTTTCTTTCTTTCTTTCTTTCTTTCTTTCTTTCTTTCTTTTCCTTCCTTCCTTCCTTCCTTCCTTCCTTCCTTCCTTCCTTCCTTCCTCCTCTTCTACTTTTTTACTGTCAAAGGAGCAGTATCCCTGGCAGCGGGACCGGGGAGGCAGAGATGAAGCTGCAGCGGAGGTATCTCGATATCTCACTGTAGCAACTCAGGAGAGTGAAGTAAGTGAGCCAAGCACCACACCTGAGGTTAGTGAGGCCACTGGGGATATGAGCCACAAGGAAGCCAATCCAGTCGGGTGGGGGCAATGTCATGTTGCAATGAAAAGGAAGATGTAGTAGGGGGTTAATCGTACACTGAAAAGGGGCGGTGGGCAGCGTCACGCACAAAATCACACTTTACCCACTATGGAAGCGTCTGCATAGTGTTGTATATTCTTATACAATAAGGAAGCCATCCTGGAACCCCATGGCGAAAGATAGACAGACAGACAGATAGATAGATGAAAAATAGATGATAGATAGGTGATAGCTATAGATAGATATAGATAGATAGATGGATACTTCTGTTTCTCCTTTGCTGCTATTTTTTATTGCTACTTGTTGGCCTTTCCCTGGTTTTGCGCTGACCTTTGGTTTTAAGCCAATAAGTTACTGAATTGAAGTGGTGCATTAATCGGCTGGCACTCTCTTCGAACAGCGCTGCTGCAGGGACGCAGCTCACGGAAATTCATACTTTACTGTTGGAGAACCGAGAGGCGGGAGCTTGCCTGAGGCCTCAGGACGCCTCTCGCCAGGGTCCCGCAGAGTCCCCCCTCCTTCCTCCTCCTTTGAGCAAACTCCCCTTGCCCGGGGATGCTGCTCTCCTTAGAGAAAAGCTACACACCCAACCTCAACTAACGCCTCTTCATTCCATCCCGTGATCATTGACTTATCATAATCAGAGGGACTGGAAGAGTTCAAAGACTTCGAACCATTTCGAACCTATAATCGTTGCTAGATTTTAACACCCAACTTAATGGGTCCCCACGGAGCTCTGGGTCGTAGGAAGCCCTCCTTTGTTATTCCCTCGGCGCTCGCACACCCGCTGCCTTCCTTCCAGACGTTGCTGAACTAGACCTCCCCTCCTCAGCCTGCATGGCTCACAGGCTTGCTGGGATTTCTAGTTCGTCTATATCTGGAGGGAGCCCGGCTGGCGAAGGCTGTCCCAACAGATCCCTTTGGGATCTGTTTCGTGGGCACGAAAGATCCCTTTCGTGCCCATCTGGAATTGGGGAGCTGGCTGTTGATGAAAGTGTCCTGAGAGACGCGCGCTTCCTTATTGACTCGTCTGGGAGTCCCGGGAGAGCCGAAGCCACGCGCTGGGCGGCGGGATCCTCCGGCCTGGACGGCTGCCAGGCTGGATCTCCCTTTTCCTGCCTGCCCCTCTCCCTCCCTCTCCGGCTCGCTCCCTCTGGGCGGGGGATAGCCGCCCCTGGAGCTCTCCGCTCGGGCAGGAGCGCATTTCCCCTCCAGGATGATCGCGACGCGCCTCCCCGGACGGTCGCCGCGGAGCAGCAGGCAGGCGCCTGGATGGGGCCCCCCAACAATGCCACGCCAGGGCTGCGGCTGGTGCGTATCTCGCGTCTCCTCTTGTCCTACCTGCTTCCGAGGTTTCACTTCCAGGGGCGGAAGGGGAAAGGGAAGGAGCCCGGGGAGGGAAGCTGGACCCGGCGGCCTCCGCCCGACAGAGAGCAAAGAGGGCTCAGGAGAGTTTGCTGTGAGGTCCTGTGTGAGCTGAGGCCTCGATGGAGGGAGGGAAGACCAAGATCCGAGCAGGGTCAATGCAGCTAAGGGAGCTAAGGCGACGTTTATTATTTATTTGTTTATTTATACCCTGCCCATCTGGCTGGGTTTCCCCAGCCACTCCTGGCAGCTCCCAACAGAATAATAATAATAATAATAATAATAAATAATAGTAATAAAGGAACAAAACACTACACATTAAAAACTTCCCTAAATCATGGCAAGTCACAGAGGGCTGGGGGAATTGCTTTCCCTGTTGCTTGATATTCGTTTCAAACTACAATCCTGACGTTACTAATCTTTCATATGATAAGTTGCCTGTAATGGGGTGGGGAGGAAGCTAATACATTTAATATTAATAATAACAATTCAATACTACTACTACTACCACCAATACTAGCTGAGACGTTTTCATCCTCAAATTTAATTTTACCCAGAATGTGTTGCAAGGCAAATGTAGTTTCTGGAGGCTTTGTTTCTTTTGTCTTCTGGAGAGCTTCCAAATGAGTCTGTCTGCTCAGCCAGCATTTGCCAGTGCACATGGGGTGCTTTCAGGAACAGTGCGGGTGGCAGCAGCCCAAAATAAAGTCTGCTTGAAAATTAAATAATGACTCTCCCGGGCTATCACTGCACTAGCTCCTGCTGTTTCTGCTATGTTACATTAACGGTGGGCAAAGCAGGCATCTGGACAGGCCCTAGGAGCCAAGCCAGGAGGGTCATGTGTTTCTAGCACAACAAGGGGATTCCGTGGCCAGTTGCACGTTCTCCATGCTATTGTGTTGCCGGCTGCTAGTTTATGGGGTTTGGGTGAAGGTTTTTGCTGACAACGTTCAGTGGGGATTATTGGGCAGGCCACATGTACACAGCCTTTGTTTGGGCCTTTTCTTCTCCCTCCCTGAAAGTGTAAGGTTAATTGGGGCCCCAGAGATAAAAAAAAATTATAATTGTGCAGTGACAAGAGTTTTTCATAGGAAAGGTCAGGAGAGAGTAATAGCATCAGAATGAGCCTGAGGACAGCAAATTGGCAATGAGGTGTAGGGATTATACCACAATTGCACTAGGAGAACATCTTACAAGACATGTCTTTAAATTACATCAAGAACTTCTATGAAGGATGTGTAAGTATGGATGGGATAAGAAGTGCTAGAGAAAGAATAAGAATCTCATTATGAGGACAGGTTTTCAGGGTTGGTCGCAAACCATTTATGAACTACAGAGGTTCAAAACAACATCCCCAGCATACAAAATGGCATTTTTCTTCAGAGAAAGCATGTTTTAGTACTAGCATTTTCCTCTTGTTCTGCAGCAAGTCTTACAAATGCTGCATATAAGCTGACATTACTTTTAAGACTAAATAAGAGTTGATTTTAATGATACCATTGTATTTGTTGCATCGGTAAGTGATCAGAACTGTATGTGAAACACTGTATGGGAACCTGTATGGCTGGTCTGTATGTGTGGAACAGCTAGATGTATGAAGGTTGCCAGTTTCTGAAGTTGCATACTGGAATTAGAAATTGATGGATCTGGAGTACATAGGTATTGTCCCTGGAGTGATGAGTCACAGGTTACTGGAGGGGGAGGGGAAGCTTTATAAAATAATCCCTTAGATGAAATCTCTGTGAAGGGAGCCTTCTATAGCATGGCCGTACGTGTGTTGGCCAGGGTCCAAAAAAAGCCTCCCAATAGGCATCTGATGCAGTCAGAGAGGGACTGTGATTGGAAGAGAAAATCAGTTGACATTTACTGTAAAAGGGGCTCTTCAGACCTCACCTCTTATGTGGAAATGCCCCCTTCAAATCAATGCTGGCCTTAGATTGACTTGAGTCAATGAAACTGACAGTGTGTTTACTCACTGACTCAGTTATCCAGTACAACACAGCTTTCAGATTAGTGTTTGGTGAAGGGTGTACAGAAAGTGTCTGCAATTCTGAACAAAATATATTATATAGATATACATTATTAAGATACATCTTGACTACTACTAATGCTTTTGATTCCTCCCTGCTCCCCATTCTTTCCTACTTAACCTCCATGTGATTCTTTACAGCTTAGGCCTCCAACAGTGGTCGGTCAATTCCACACACTCTTCTTTGGCTCAGTCCGAATGTTTTTCCTTGGTGTTTTGGGTTTTGCTGTCTACGGCAATGAAGCCTTACACTTCAGCTGTGAGCCAGACAAGAGGGACATTAATCTATTCTGTTACAACCAATTCAGACCTATAACCCCACCGGTAAGTCTTCTTTTCTCTTGTAAAAGGTAGGGTGTAGCCAATGACAGTAGTCAAAATGTCCCTGAAAGATTTAAGGGCACCGAATGAAGTTGTAAGCTGAGATGGCAGCATTTTGAGCAGTGCTACTTCAGACTGCAGGCAGGCAATTGAGAGCATAAGTGATGACATGCCATACCAGCATAAAGGGCTATCCAGTCCAACTTCCTGTTCTCAGAATGGCCAATCAGAATGCCCACAAGCAGAACATGAATGCAAGAGCAGTTTTCCATTTGTGATCACCAGCAACTGGTATTCAGAGGCATATTGCCTTCAGCATTGGAGCCACTGACGGCCTTACCATCTACACATTTGTCTTAAGTCTCTTTTAAATCTGTCCAACTTTGTGGCCATCACTGCATCTGGGGGTAGAAAATTCCATAGTTTAACCATATGCTGTGTTTTGTCTGTCCTGAAATTCTCAACTTTCATTGCATTTTCTGAATGCTCCTGAGTAGGAAGAATGGGAATGAGCAGGGGTACACACCAGTTATGTCTGCTCAAACTGACCCTTTCCTTGCACTGTTCTCTACATCTTAGCTCAGATGTTTACATATGCTCTGTTAGAGGCAGATTTAGGGCAGTACAAGTGCGGGAGCACTGGACACACAGCCGAAAAGGACGCCTTCTCAAGGAGACTGATCAGCACTTCCCTGGCTTGGGAAAGGAGGAGTGCAGGCTCTGACAGGGTCCTAGAGTCCTCCTGCCTCCTTCCCAAAGCTGGGCATGTGCTTGTTGTTAGTATAATACCATCCATGTGCACTGCGCTTTCCAAAATCGGAAGACAAATCCATGCTCCAAAGAGCTTACAATCAAGAAAACAACACAAAAGAAGCTAAGGGACATAGGAGCTGCCTTATACTAAATCAGAAAATTGGTCTACCTAGCTCAGTATTGTTGACATTGACTGGCAGAGACCTTCCAGTGTTTCAAGCAGCGAATCTTCCCCAGCCCTTCCTGGACATGCCAGGAATTGAAACTTTGAGGCAGGCATAGGCAAACTTGGCCCTCCAGATGTTTTGGGACTACAACTCTCATCATCCCTAGCTAACAGGACCAGTGGTCAGGGATGATGGGAGTTGTAGTCCCAAAACATCTGGAGGGCCGAGTTTGCCTATGCCTGCTTTGAGGCATTCACTCTGCCTCAAATGAAGGTCTCTGAAATGGAGGCAAAGCCAAGCATGGAAAAGTAAATTAATGGAAGAAACTGGTATATGAAAGCAACAATAAAGTATTTATACAAACAAAACCAATCATGCAAGTGCTAAAATATACTGCATTAAAACTGACTCACAGAGCAACCCACCACTATGCCAGCACATCTGTCATATTCTGTAGCCTCTCAGTTGCCTTATCATGAATATAGGGTTGTGCCCTTAGTTTTTAGGAAGCTTAACAGTGACTCTTTAATGAGAAGGTGTGGTGGTGACTTATCAGCCACTACCAATGTTCCCAGCAACATGAGGTCCCCTGAGACCATAGGGTGTGTTATTTGGTACACACTTCATTCCATAGGCAACAGAAGTGGTTCAAAAAGTATTGCCAGCTGTCCTTGCCTGAATTAAATATCTGCCCCAGAACATGACACAGAATCTTATGCAACACATGGAAGTTTCCAAAGGTAGAAAGTCAGAAAACTAACAATTTCCTTTTGGGTTTTATCATTAAATTGATAAACATCAAATACTAATGAACCAGTTGAAAGGAAAAAGTTAATGAACTGTGAAGCTAAACTTTGAAGCAAAGGATAACAGTGATTTTTCGTATGAATGCTATTTTTAAAGTAGTATTTTAAGATTATCAATGTCCTCTGATAAACAAAAGCAGTCACAAGACATTCTGGTTGATGTCTGTTATCAGGTAACACAATATAGTGATAAATGATTTGACAGCCAAGTTTCTGCTACACTTTAGGTATTCTGGGCTTTACAGCTAGTGACCGTACTGGTACCAGGAGCCATTTTCCACCTTTATGCTGCATGTAAAAGCATCACTCAGGAAGATATCCTCCAAAGACCTGCCTACACCGTTTTTTATATTCTTTCTGTTCTGTTAAGGATCATCCTTGAAGTTGTGGCTTTTTGGCTTCAGAGTCAGCTCTTTGGTTTCCAAGTGAATCCACTCTACAGATGTGATGCAGGAGCCCTTGATAAAAAGTTTAATATTACCAGATGCATGGTACCAGAACACTTTGAAAAGACTATCTTCCTTATTGCTATGTACACATTTACTGTGATTACTATCATGTTGTGTATTGCAGAGATTTTTGAGATCTTGTGTAGAAGGTTGGGCTTCTTGAATAGTCAGTAACTTCAGTGTTATAATGAATTATATCTATTTGTTTATCATAACATTTTTTGTACAAAGAGCAGTTATCCATCTGAAACAAAATTAACTTTCTTTAAATAACAAAGTCAAGTTGCATCTTAAAAATATGTTTTTAAATATCAGCAAACAGGGTATTCTTCGTTATGACTTTTTTTTAACTCATAAATTTTACATACCATATTTTTCCATCTATAAGACGCCCCCATGTATAAGACGCTCCCTATTTTTGGGGACTCCGATTTAAGAAAATGGGGGGAGATGGCCCCCGTGTATAAGACCCCCCCCAAAAAATTTTGGACATTATTTTTTAGGGGGGGGAACCTAGTCTTATACACGGAAAAATATGGTGTATATATCACACACAGAGAGAGAGAGAGAGTATGCAGCACCTTAACCCAGAAATAAACCCTGCTGGGCTTACTCCCTTGTCTAAGTCTGCAATCCTAATAATACTTATCTGGAACAAAGTGTCATGGAACTCAGTAGGATTTGCTCCCAAGTAAACAGGTATAATATTGTGAGTGTGGATGTTTCGGACGTGGATGCATGTGGATGTAATTGTACTCTTGAGGTCTCCCCCTGGCGACCATGAAGCCTCTGAACTGCACCCCTCCATATGCCCTCTTGGTCATGCGGTGGTGAGGAGGGTTACCCTTTTTCCCATTGAAAAATCATAGAGATGAAGGAGGAAGTTGGAAGAGTGACACTCTTTCCCACTTCCCCTTTTAGCTCTATGTGCTTTTAACGGTTTAGATTCATTTGACTGGAAGTGGCCAGAGGGAGGGGCGTGCATGACACTTACTCAAAAATCTAAATGTGCCCTGAAAGGGTTGGCAATCTGTGGCTTTGGATCACACAGTGAAAATCAGATGTCTATAACCTGACTGATTCTGGAAAGGCAAAGTAGAACACATTCTTTTATATGGATTAAGGCAAATTAGTGAGGGGGAAAATCTATTTAAAATATATGAAATCCATATTAGCTAACATCCTGTGTTTTCTACAGTTAAGGGGAAATCCCATGTTTTGCATGTGACCATTTAAGCTGGGGTGGCCACAGTGACCCATGGTCAGTCTTCTGGGGACTGCATGCAAAAAAGAGAGTGACCAAAGTGTAAAAGTGGATGTGGACAATTTTTAGGAGATATTTTGGAGGTCTCGGGAAAGGGTCACAAAAAGCTTCTGACAATAAAGTATCAAAGCAGAGCACCTGTGGAATTGGTCAGTAAAAAACTAAATTAAAATATTTTTAGTGGGAAATTGTGAGGCCTTGGGAGCCCTAAAACTTTTAGCAACACAGTACCCCAGAGAGTGACCTAGGCAAACAGTCAGTAAAAATAAAACTAATTAGTACAGGCCAAGGAGGGGGTCATGAAAATTTTTGGCATCATGGTAACCCAGGGGAGCAGTCAAAAACTTTTTTTGTTAACCCCCAAGTCAAACGAACTAACAATTAATACTCATAAAGACAGAACAATAAACAAACCAGAAACATTTTGTGTTGCTCTAACCATCAGTGATGAATATTGAGACTTCACTGTATAATAATTGCTTTAATTATGTGTTGTTTCTGTACAAAGTAATCTTATCTGCGCTATTTACCTCTTGTAATGTGCCTTTAAAACCACAATTCTGAGACAGATCACTAACCTTATTCAATTTTCCATGCCTTAACACTTGCTTAACTTTAATATAAGACTCTGATAAATGTTCTCCACTCCAAATGTTTTATATTCCTTGCTTGTATAGTAACTTGCCAGAGATATTTTATGCACAGAAAATTATCTATGGTGGGGAGAAAGAGACCTTATGCAGTATTTCCTGCAATTTTAGATAAGCAGAAATAATGGCATAGCACCCGTTTGTGTTTTATATCAGCATAGGTTATCAACCTGATGGACAGAGCAATGTAATACTGTCATGCCAATTGTTCTAGTTTCAAATAAGGTTAAACACCTCTGCCACATGTGACCTTGGGCAATTCACTGGACATGCTAATTTTCCATTCTGTTTCTTGATTTATTACTGTCATCAAGAGTTTTTGAAGTGTTCACAGAGAAGGGTTGCTACTTACAATACTGAGAGCCACAGAATTCTCAAGCAAAAGCCTTTGGGCCTTACCTGAATACAGTTCAGCAGTAATTAAGGAATTTTTTTAATCACCTGCAAAGTAAATAATCTCAAAATGATTCTTTTATGGGCCAAATGTTAAATTTAGGGCCTTTCTGTGTGGTCGGAAAAAGCATCTCCCAAATTCATTGTGTCCTGTGTGTGGTATTCCTACAAGCCTAATCCATGTATAAAAGGTAAAGGTACCCCTGCCCGTACGGGCCAGTCTTGCCAGACTCTAGGGTTGTGCGCTCATCTCACTCTAGAGGCCGGGAGCCAGCGCTGTCCGCAGACACTTCCGGGTCACGTGGCCAGCGTGACAAGCTGCATCTGGCGAGCCAGCGCAGCACACGGAACGCCGTTTACCTTCCCGCTGGTAAGCGGTCCCTATTTATCTACTTGCACCCGGGGGTGCTTTCGAACTGCTAGGTTGGCAGGCGCTGGGACCGAGCGACGGGTGCGCACCCCGCCACGGGGATTCGAACCGCCAACCTTCTGATCGGCAAGTCCTAGGCGCTGAGGCTTTTACCCATAGCGCCACCCGCGTCCCTAATCCATGTATACTAAGTGCAATTATTGCCACAAACTGGAGGGCGCATCACAGATAGCACTTGTAAGATTTGCCATCTAATATGGAATTTACAGAATAAGCGAAGTTCAGTCTTCAAGTCACCTTGAATTAAAGAGGGACCATGGCTGAAATATGTTACATTGCAGACTAAAAAAATAACCATGATATACAATGTAATTTGTTCCGCCCCCGCCCCCTTTTCCTACAAATAGACAGCAAAGCATGGAAGAAATCTGAGGACAAACCAAAAAATTGCCACGCTCAGCTGTACCCATGTACAACCTGGATACAACCAGGTCAGTTGTGCATCATCTGGCAGTCAGTGTTCAACTTAAGAATACATCCATAGCTTTAAGCCAAATGCACAACCTTCCTTGAATGAGGCACTTGCATGCTTGCTCTAAGTGCATCTTCAGCATGAGATGTAACTCTCACGTCTTCCAGCCCCTGTTGTATCTTCTGCTTGTTCAGTTATCAATTCTAAGCTTCTCCATGTGCAGCTCTGCTTCTGATTTCAGGTTTTTTTAATGCAGTGTTCATAGAACAAAGTGCATGCACACAGGAGCTATGAACAATATGCAGTCACCTTCCCAGTATCTGCACTACCATGGTGTCTTTCTATAAGCCAACAGACAAACAATTTAAAAAATATTTACAGGGAGTGTAAAAGGTAGTCATTGGTTTGAATAGCAAGCAAGATAGGCAGTGGTTGGAAGGATGGTAGCAGAGAAAGCTGGACTTGGTAGCATCTCCAAATCCCACACACATGGCGTAGGGCAGTGATGGCCAAATTTGGCCCGCCAGCTGTTTTGGAACTACAATTCCCATCATCACTGACCACTGGTCCTGTTAGCTAGGGGTGATGGAAGTTGTAGTCCCAAAACAGCTGGAGGGCCAAGTTTGCCCATCACTGGCATAGCAGGTCCATGTCCTCTTTACAATCTATGTACATAACTTAGAATTTAAAATAAAAGATAGGAAAGGGACTTTAAAAGAAAGGGATTTGAATGTGATTTTGCAAAACTCAGGGGAAATTCCCAGAAGTTATTATCAGTAGCTGAAACATTATTTATACAAAGGGCTCAGAGTAGCACTTTTTCCAAACCCTATAGGTTAGATTATGAGAAAGATTATGATATGCCCAAAGTCATGCAATGAACTTCAGAGACAAGTGGGGATTTGAAAACAAGTTTCAAGCTGCTGTCCCGTACTGGCTCCTATCTGACATCTGAATAATCTGTAAGGGTAACCCTTTAATCCACAATTACAAAATCAGCTCCACTGTTTTTAGTTGGTACAAAAGGAGTGCAAGATTGATATCTAGTGATCTTTCCTGTATAGATAAAAATATAGCCTTTGTGATCCTATGTTCTAATTCAGTTTATACTATAGTTGAATATTTTGTGTTTCTACATGGATAGGAGTCACATTTTATGCAAGTACCATGTTAAGAAAATTAGGCTTAGAATAATAAAAATGTAGAGTTGGAAGAAATCCCGTGGATCCTCTAGTCCAACCCCCATCAATGCAGGAGTCTCAACATGTGGTTCCCCCATCCAATTTGAAACCATACTGGTCTCTGCTTAGGTTTGCAGATGTGGCAGCAGTTTTATTGCTGCACCACAGGAATGGTTTGTCAACTCTTTTAAAACCAGCTTGATCTGAAGACATGAACAGGGGTAATGCTATGAAAAGCACCAGTGGGTAATTTCTCCAGAATGCACTCTTATTAAAGGGACAGGAACTGGACAGCTGTTGTTTCTGGATTATCTGACAATCCTACTTTAAATGGTTTGATGTATTTTGTTCAATTGCTATGTGTGTATTATTGTATCATATATCCATCCATGTTTGTACGTATACACAAAAGCTGCTTTATTTTCAATTTAATGTATGATCTCAGGTACAATAAAACTTTTTATGCATAACAGTATGGTGCGAGTGAATATATTAAATGAAATCTATTCCTGGACTGCATATTCCAGTGAAAATAAGAATGTGAAGTATGAGAATGTCAAAATCCATCCTGATTTCTGCACATGGTTGAAAAAGTTGCATGAAAAGCAGCATGTGTGCTTTCACAGAGGCACAGTAGCCCTGCCCCTATATTGCAAAACTAAACAACCAAAAGCCACAG